AGCCTGTCTACGATCTTTTCAGGATTAGCACCGTGAAGGCAAGCACCACCATTTGCAGCTGGTATTGAGCTTTCTTTCGCAGTTCTTCCAGAGTCGGCGGCACTTTTCCAGCCAGCGAACGACCGCTCCACACCCATCGCTTCGCGCAGTACCACGAAGGTGTGCAGTTCGTTGCGTTTCACTACTCCATCACTTCCACCGAGCTCCCAACAGGCTTGCAACCGCAGTGGCACAGGGCTTTCCGGTGTAACCCCCGTCCACCAGCACCTTCTGGACCTGCTGAGTTCGGCCCGGTTTTTCTCAAACATCGCCAAAGCCCCAGCCCGGTCGGTAACGTCGGCGGTAGTCACGTGTATCCCATGGGCACTCCTTGCGTGTCACCGGATGTGACGCTTGATCCGGACACCTTCTTGCTGCGTCGTAGCCCTGCTATCGGCGGTGTCCGTGTTCTTGACGCTCTGGGAGTCCACGATACAGAAGCTGGTCTGCTCTTTCCGTCCATTGCTTTGTCGGGGCCGCGCCACCATTGTTTTAGGACTCGCTCCAGAATGGAATCTGACTGGGCCAGGCCGCTCGCTCCATTGCCGGAATACTGGTAGCATTGCGCCAATTGGGGAAGTCCACGGGCAGCATTCGCCATGGCACCGCTTTTTCAAGAGGTACAGTACGGCCGCAGAAAACTCCATCAAGTCCACGGTGCGGGCTTGGTCCGGCGGCGGGCCGACTCCAACGTCGGCAGAATACGGCGAATTGCTCCCCGGCTGATGTCGCTGGGATAGGAATGAGACATGATTACCCTCCCCTGATAGAGTCCAACTTAACCTATTTCAGAGATCGTATACAGGTTCTAATACTACAGTTGCAGAACAAAGGCGGGTAGAATCAAGGCAGTCAAGGGCTGGAGAGGTGAGGCGGTGGTAGGTGTGATAGAAGATGTGGCAGAGGTGGCCCGTTGGGCCAAGGGAATCGAAGGGGTACACGAGTGCATTGCGGGACGATTCCGGCGTCCCGAGCCGCGTAGGCGGGGCGCTGGACTACCTGCGAGGGCTGCTCAGTCCCGTGGAACGCAAGAACGGCTGGCAACTGGCGGAGCAGGCGGGGGACGCCACCCCCTATGGGGTGCAGCACCTGCTGTCCACCTACGTCTGGGACGCCGACCTGGTTCGCGACGATCTCAGGGACTACGTGGTGGAGCATCTGGGCGACGTCCATGGAGTTCTGGTGGTGGACGAGACGGGATTTCTGAAGAAGGGGAACAAGTCCGTTGGGGTGCAGCGGCAGTATAGCGCACGGCGGGGCGGATCGAGAACTGCCAGATCGGGGTATTTTTGACCTACGCCTCTGCCCAAGGGAGGACCCTGATGGACCGGGAACTCTACCTGCCTCGGGTGTGGGCTGATGACCTGGAACGGAGGCGAGAGGCTGGGGTGCCTGAGAAAGTGGCATTCCGCACCAAGCCGCAACTGGCCCGGCGGATGCTGGAGCGGGCGCTGGAATCGGGAGTGCCCTTCGGCTGGGTCACTGGGGACGAGTCTACGGCAACGACCGCAACCTGCGGCGGTGGCTGGAGCGGCGAGACGTTCCCCACGTGCTGGCCGTCAGGAGCAACGAGAAGCTGTGGGCAGAGACGGACAAGGGATGGCGACAGGTGCGGGCGGACCGGCTGGCGCCTAGGGTGGAGGACCCGGCTGGGTGCGGCGCAGCGCGGGCGACGGCGCCAAGGGACCCCGGGTATACGATTGTGGGCGCGGGTGGAGATCCGGCCCCTGAAGGAGCCGGGCAGGGGTACTGGCTGCTGTTCCGTCGCAGCATCGCCGAGCCCGGGGAGTTGGCCTATTACGTCTGCTTCGGCCCGTTGATACGACTCTGGAGGAACTGGTGCGGGTGGCCGGAACTCGTTGGACCATCGAAGAATGCTTTAAGGAGGCCAAGGGAGAGGTGGGTCTGGACCAGTATGAAGTCCGAATGGATGGCTGGTACCGGCACATCACCCTGGCGATGCTGGCCCCTGCCTGCCCTGGCGGGTGGTCAGGCGCAGGCGTTGGAACAAGGAGGTCCGAGGGAAAAGGGGGCTCTCCCAGCTTGGACGAAGCTGATACCCCTGACGGTGCCCGAGGTCCGGCGGTTGCTCTACCGGCTGATATGGAGACATCAACCTACGGACGAATCAGTGCTGCGGTGGTCCCGGTGGAGACGGCGCACCAGGCAACGGCCCGGCGCTGCCATTACCGACGCCGCCTGAACTCCTCACCACATTCTGCACTGTAGTACTAGAGAAACCAGGTGGCATGAAATAGTCGCCGCGTGATCCTTATCGGAATAGCTACAAACCCGACTAAGGAGGACTACGGTGACCAAAAACAGCATCGGCCTTTTGGAATTACTTCGCAAGCGCGGCATGGACGGCGATGTAGACTTCCTGCGGGAAGCCCTGCCGGTGCTGGTGGAGGGCACATGGACGCCGAGGTGGCGGCCCAGATCGGCGCCCAGCGTGGAGAGCGCAACCCAGACCGCGTTACCCACCGCAACGGCTACCCCAACCGGCCCTGGGACACTCGGGTAGGTACCACGGCGTTGCGGATCCCCAAGATCCGGAAGGGCAGTTATTTCCAAAGCCTGTTGGAAGCCGGTCGGCGCAGCCAAAAGGCTCTGCTCGGTGTAGTCCAGCAAGCCTGCGTGGAGGCGGTGTCCACCAGGAGGGTGGACGGTCTGACAAACGCTATGGGCTGCGATGGCATATCAAAAGTCAGGTGTCTCGCATCTGTCGAGACCTATACCAGGTGGTGGAGAATTTCCGGCCCGACCCGTGGACGGCTGTCCTCATCCCTATGTGTGGGTGGACGCGTGACCTCAGAAGTTTGGAGAAGGTGGTCGCATTGTTAACGTCAGCGCGGTGTTGGCTGCCGACGCTGCTTGGCAACGGTGCCGCACTGCCTACATACAACTCTCATCCGAGGATGTGCAAGCCTACGCCAACCCGATGTTGGCCCAGCTCCGAGAGCGCTTTCCCACGGCCGCTCCGATGAACCGGTTGCCTGTGGCTAGTTGTGGATGCGCAACAGTCGATCGGGGCTGTTTCCTATCTATCGCCCCGATTGCCGCCTCTTAACATTGACTCTGGCAACCCGCGGACATATCATCGGGAGTAACACGGAACCGTATCCCCACACTTTTCACGGAGGGGTGAGCATGGACTTTGGATTGTTTACTACTTGGAACGCTGTTTACGAAGGCGGCATGGTCCCTTGGGACCCCGAATATCAGGGCGGCAAGCTCCTGGAAGCCGAGGCTTACAAGCAGAACTTCCGGGAAATCGATCACATCGAGGACGCGGGCTGGGACTACGTCTGGTTCGGCGGCGGTCATTTCTCCACCCAGGGCAGCATGGACCCCCAGTCCCTCATGCTGTCGTCCGTTATCGCCAACCACACCAAGAACTTAAAGATTGGGACATCCATCCACCGCCCGACCCTACGGTTACCCGGTGAAACACCGTCGCCGCGGGCGTTGCCCCACGAAAGGTATGCCTTTGACAACCTCCAGCCCGAGGACCCCTTCCAGGTCGCGGAACAGGTTGCCATCGTTGACCAGATCAGCGAGGGACGCTTCATCTACGGAGCAGGGGCCCGCACTCGCGGCTCTGCCGAGCGCCGGGAGTACTTTTTCGAGTACCTCGAACTGCTCAAGCAGCTGTGGGAAGAGGACAGATTTTCCGGTTTCGAGGGCAAGCACTTCAATTATCCCGCGTTCTACGAGAGCTACATGAGCATCCCCAAGCCGGTGCAGAGGCCCATGCCAATGTTGCTACCCGTGGACAGCCAGGAGAGCTTCGTGCCAATGGGCGAGCAGGGGTACCGCATCGCCATCGGCGCCGGCAGTTCCCCTCACAACCTGCGGGGCTCCGCCATCCTACGCGAGGACGTCAATGCCTACCGCAAGGCGTGGATAGACGCCGGGCATGAAGGAGAGCCTAGCACCGTAGTACGGGTGCCCACTCTCGTTGCCAACACCCAGGAAAAAGCCGACCGCCGGGTCGAAAACCTCATGGACCTCGCCCGCATCTATTACTCGGGCCGTACGGCCATCGGCAGCACCGACGCCGGCAGCGCCGGCCCCGAAGCCACCCAGGAAGTCAACCTCTTCGGAACGCCGGAAGAGGTGGTCGAGAAAATCCACATGTTCAGGGAGGCTTTCACTACCGACGAAATTATGTTCGAGTGCAACTGGACATCATCCGTCCCCCGGGAAGTAGTTATGGAAACCCTAAAGTGCCTCTCCGAAGACGTCATCCCCCACTTCAAGTAGGCGGGAAGTTTGTTCAGAGGGAACTAGGGCGGGCCGCCGGTTGGCGGCCCGTTTCCTTAACTGAAGCCAAGGAAGTGTAAACGCGGCGTGGTGAATATCGGTTTGGACGCTTCCAATTAGTTCCTCCGCCCGTGCTTAGAGGGTGTCTGGCATCGCCGCCTGATTTCTCTTGTTGCCCCACCGAAAAATGTCACCGAAACTTTAGCACCTGGGATCCACTCCGATCGGCGCCAGTTCCGGCAGTCCGTCAGGTTCCGTTGAGGCCGCAGCAGTCCCGGCGTAAACCAGTTCTTTGGCCATGATACCGCGCCACTCTTTCACTCGGCGCTGCATGGTCCGCAGCTGCCTTTGCTGAAACCGTGCGGGTGTCCCGTTTGCAACCTGGCCTGGTACTCCTTCAGCACGTCTTTCATTTCATCCCTGGTTGCGTCGTGCTGGATCAGCCGGTCGCAGGGCGTGGTGGGCTGGCTGTAATGCTTCACGGTGGTGGCTCCGTCCCAAGTCTTGTCGATCAGCTTGAACGAGGGTTGGAAGAAGTTCACGTACCGACGCAACGCCTCATAAAGGTGCGCCATGGTCGGTCCGGCGACTTGGCCCGAGTAACGATCATGGCCGACGAAGCGCCGTACCACGGAGCCATTCTTCTGCTCGATCCAGGCCTGGTCGTTGCTGCGGTACGCCCGCGACCGGGTGAACTCGATGCCATGGTCGGCGCAGTACTTGATCAGCGTCTCGTTGATGAACGCGCCGTCGTTACCCACTCAGCATTAGTCCGAGTCGATACCCCGGATGCGGAAGGGCAACCGCTGCCCGATGGCTTCCAGTCCCTCCACAACCAGGGACTGCTCCCGGGCCAGGAGGGGCACGGCTTCGGTCCAGCCGGTACAGATGTCGGTGGCTACCAGGCTGTGGATAAATGACCCAGACAAAGGACCGCCACAGTGGGCCACCAGGTCGATTTCCAGAAAACCCGGCGGCGGCCGGTCCCAGTCATTGTAGGTATACGTCCAAGTAGGTACGTACCGGAATGCGTTTTCCCATCGACTGTTTACGCCGGCGTCTGCGCCGGCTGCCCGCGACGGGACGGATCGGTTTCAGAAGACGGTCGAGAGTGGCTGCACTGGCGACCAGCAGCCGGACTCGTACCTCGGGTACGAGAACTAAAGGGTCAAGATCGAGATGACCATGGCGTTCCATGGAATCCACCAGATGGGGTAGCGCCGCCTTCAGGCGTTTTCCACAAATACGGTCAGCAGCTTCCCAGATCACGATCACCGCTGCTCTGACGGCCTCATCGTAGATGCGCCGGCGTCGCACGGAATGCGTTGTGCCCCCATCGTCGTCAAGTTTCCCAAGCAACCTGATGCCATGCTTGCGATGGTGGCCGGTCACCGCGATGAACTCGTCGAGGATCCGGCTCTTGTCCTTCTTGGAGGAGCTCCGGTAACGGTCTCGTATTGTTGCCAATAATTCCTGTCTTGCCATCTTGCTGATGCCTCCCCCCACGCGATCGCCTCCCGATTTTCGGTAGCATTTTATCTGAGGCAACCACCTTCGTTGGGTAACGATTTAGGTGAGGCAATGCGACAGGTGAACCGGCGAAACTAGTTGACACCAAACCGGCAAGAATGCTTGACGCGGGACGCTTGGGGCCCGAAACGCTCCGAGCCTTGGTCGTTTGCCGGTTGCCCTTTCCGGTGCCCACCGATCCTGTGACCAATGCGAGAGCAGGGCTTTATCAAGAGCGCTTTCCGGGATACATGCTGCCGACAGCGATCTTGCGGTTCAGGCAAGGTTGCGGCCGGTTGATTAGGTCACCTTTGTCGAAGGGAGCCATCATCATCCTAGATCGCAGGATACAGACGGCAACATACGGCCATCGGTTTGTGGATAGCCTGCCAGAATGTTACAGGATGGAATCAAGCATCGAAAACGTGGGGCAGTTGGCCCTGGATTGGATTAATCGACAAATGGAACAATAAAGAAATATCTATACCGCCGTAAAGCGGGGCCGAGTACTGCTTGCGGGCCATCTACGCCACGTGTAGGTCTGGCCCTGGTGAATGGTGGAAAGCATCATTGTGAGCGAAACCCGGGTGGCCGCCGTCCACTGGATCTTCGCAAACCCGGCATTCCCCACGTTACTTCGAGAATTCGCGAGTGCTCGAGAAAAACTCGGTTGAGTGTGTTTTTTTGTAGATGCTGCTGCTCGGACAAATCGCGCATCCCCACCCTAGTGTGGTGACCGCTCAGAAACTTCAATTGCGCCGGCCGTTGCTCAACGTTACGTGCCATCCTTGAATAAGGGAATTGGCAATGGCCGAATGGCAAGAGCGTATCTGGGAACCTGACTTCGCTGGTCCTACCCGACGCGACCGCAGGTCGTGCAGGTACTCAGTCTACCTGCCGGACCCGCTGGCTGTCCGCCGCTTCACCCTCGAAGGCGACGTGGCCGCAGACGTCGCGGACGCGGAGGCCGACCTGGTCAGGCTCAACGGGACAGTGGATGCCTTCGCCGATACCGAGGCTCTGGCTCGATTGTTACTGCGGGCCGAGTCCGTGGCCTCCTCACGCATCGAGGGTCTGGTTGTGGGCGGACGGCGTTTGCTCCGAGCCGATGCGGCTCAGCAACTGGGTGAGGATATTAGAGACGTTACCGCAGGTGAAGTGCTGGCCAACATCGACGCCATGGTCTGGGGCGTTGACGAAGTGGAGGAGCACGGTCCGATAACGCTAGATATCCTGTTGGAGGTCCATCGTCGACTTCTTGCGGGGTCCCGCCGGGAGGAACACGGCGGCCAAATCCGCACGGTGCAGAACTGGATCGGAGGCAGTGGCTACAATCCCTGCTCGGCAGCGTTCGTCCCGCCGCCTCCGGAGTACGTTCCTTTGCTATAGGGTGATCTGATTGCTTTCTGAAACGACGATGGTTTACCAGTTCTGGCTCAGGCGGCCATCGCTCACGCCCAGTTTGAGACTATTCATCCGTTTGTTGATGGCAACGGGCGTGCTGGAAGGGTCCTGATCCACCTGGTGCTGCGGCGAAGGGGAATGGCGCCGCGCCTCTTGCCGCCCGTGTCCTTGGTTCTGGCCACATGGGCGGACGACTATGAGGCAGGACTGACCTCCACGCGTTACGCGGGAGAATCAGAGTCAGAAGCAGCGCACATCGGCGTCAACCACTGGATCGCCGTGTTTGCCTCGGCCTGTCGGCGAGCCGTTGCGGATGCAGGTTGGTTTGAAAAGCGAGTCCGCCAACTGCAGGAATCTTGGCGCCAGCGAGCGGGCAATCCTCGCAGGAACTCGACGGTAAGCCGATTGATCTCAGCTTTGCCTGCGGCTCCAGTCCTGACCGTGTCTGCGGCGGCCGAACTCACTGGCCGTTCATTCCAGGCGGCTAACCAGGCGATTGACCGTCTGGTCAGCGCTGATGTGCTGGTTCAGATCAACGTGGGAAGGCGCAACCGCGCATTTGAGGCACCCGAAATCATTGATGTCTTCACGGCGCTGGAACGGCGACTAGCCAGCCCGTCAGGCGACACGCTTATTTCTGAGCCGGTGCGCCGGGTGCCGGAGCGACTAAGGTGAATCACGCAACCTCGTAGTCGAGCTCGCCACCGTTTTAGACGAGGCGCATCACCGCTCCCGGCATACCGTGTACGTTCTGCCGCGGGGCGAAGCCCTGAACAGCAATACGGTAGAAAACAAAGATCACCATGCGGGTATCGTCGGGGGTGATATCCCCGCAGAGGTTCGCGGCAATCCTCGTTTCTCGGGTGAGGACAGCGTTTCGGTACCGTCAACAACTCATTCATTGCGGAAGGTCGAAGGCGTTGCCGATCAGAGATTGCATCCCATAACAGCTCGCTGATGGACAATCGTCCCCTGGCATGATGCGACGCATGAACTCATCGAATATCGGCACTGCGAATGAACGCGGTATCGCCGTGGCTTGGGCTCCAGATCATTCCCTCGTTGATTGTTTGGCCATGCTTCGGAGCCAAGGAAACTGACTTTAGCGTCCAGGCTTACAGGAGCCGGCCCTTTAGCGACTCGAACTCCTCGAGGGTTATGTAGCCTTGGTCCAGCAGACGTGCCAGGCGCTCCAGCTCGCCCACCACGCCGCCGGCGCTGTCCGGGCCCGGGTCCTGGGCGACGGAGCTATCTACCCGCTTCACGTCGGTCACGCCGCAGAGGCCCATGGCCACGCTGAGCTCGGTGCGCAGGATCTCCAGGCAGTTGCGGACGCCCGCTTCGCCGTTGACCGACAGCCCCCAGAAGATGGGCCGGCCCACGAAGACCGCCCGGGCGCCCAGGGCCAGCGCCTTCAGCACGTCGGCACCCTTGCGGACGCCGCCGTCGACATAGACCTCCAGCCGGTCGCCCACGGCGTCTGCGATCTTGGGCAACATCTCGATGGTGCCTTCGGTGCCCTGCAGCGCGTGGCCGCCGTGGTTCGAGACCACCAGCGCCTCGCAGCCGTACTCGGCGCAAAGGCGGGCGTCCTCGGCCGTTTGCACACCCTTAATGACCAGCGGCATCGAGGTGATGGAGCGCAGCCACTCCAGGTCGGACCAGTTGAGGCCCGACTCGAAGCTCTCGGCGAAGTTCTCCCGCGTGGGCAGGTTGGGCAGCTCGATTCCCTCGAAGTTCTTCAGGGTGCGTTCCTGGTCCAGGGTGTAGGCGTAACGGTACTCCCGCTCCCGGGAGTTGGCGCCCAGGTTGTCCACCGTGAGCATCATGGCCTTGTAGCCCGCCTGTTCCGCCCGGCGCACCAAGATCTCGGTCAGTTCCCGGTTCTCGAAGAAGTAGAGCTGAAACCAAAGCGAATTGGTGGCAACCTCAGCCACTTCCTCAATGCTGTAGCTGGAGGCGGTGCTGAGCCCCAGGATGGTCCCCGCGTCGCCGGCGGCCCGGGTGGAAGCCAACTCGCCCATGGGGTGGGCGCGCTGGTGGGTGCCGGTTGGGGCCAGCATCACCGGCATGCTTATCTCTTCGCCCAGGACCGTGGTGGTCATGTCCCGCTGGGTGACGTCCACCAGGATCCGGGGACGCAGCTTGACTTCGCTCATGGCCTGGACGTTAGTGGTGTTGGTTATCCAGTCGGGCGCACCCAGGTCGCCGAACAGTCGGTCGAACAGGGCTTGGGGCATGGTCTGCTTGGCCCGGGCTTCGTAGTCGCCAATGGTCAGTAGGGTCGGCTGGGTAGTCATGCGTCCTCCGTAGTTGGTTGGGCGTGGCGGGCCGGCTTCAGCAGTCCGATCCGAACCCGTTGGGATGGCCCGGCCCGGCGGTGCGCTGCCGGAGCAGGTAGTGGCCAACAGCGAATATGGCTGCCAGGGCCAGCACTAGATAGGGCCAGGCAACAACGTGCGACATGCGGCCCAGGAAGAAGCGGAAGAAGAACAGCACCGCCCCAGCCCCAGCGATGGAAGCCAGCACGCATAGGGCCACGGTGGGCAGCGCCATCCAGATCTCTCCGCGGTGAGCGCCGATGAAGGAGTTGGAACGCAGGACTTCGAGGAAAGCCAGAACGGCCAGGCCGACTACTACGACTCCAATCCATACGGCTACTTCAAGCATATCGTCATGGCTACCGGGGCCCATAGTTTTCGTGCGCTCCTCACCAGGCCATGCTACGGATGATACGCAATTCTAACAGCAGCCCGGATATTTTGCGAAGGGAGAAGCGGTTTCATGCCGGGAAGCGGGCGGATTTCACCACCGTCCCGCGGGGCCCCGAGGGGGAACTACAGGGCGTGCAATGCCGGTATGACCTCTCGGCCCACCAGGTCGATATGCTCCAGCACCTCGGCCTGGGACATCTCCGGGTAGAACAACCGCAGAGCCACATCGGTGAACCCCATTTCGTGGTAGGCGGCGATCTGCTCGACGCATTCCTCGGGGCTGCCCACCAAGAAGGTGTCGTCCATCAGCGTTTCCAGGTCGCCAGTCACCTTCCGGGTCAGCTCGTCGTCGGTGCCGTGGAGACCGTGATAGGCGTAGACTTCGTACTTCTTGGCGAAGTTGGCCCTTGCCCGCTCCAGCGCCTCCTCGTGGGTCGGGGCGCAGAAGAACTCGCGCACGATGACCATCTCCTCGGGAACGTCGTAGCCGTTTTCCTCGAGGGTCTGATGGTACAGCGGTATTTGGCGCCGGATGGTGGCGTTGGACTGGGCGGGTCCGACGTAGAGGATGTCGCCGCCCCGGCCGACCCGGCGCACCGCCGGATCGCTCATCGCGGCCTGCCAGATCTTGGGGTGGGGCTTCTGGTAGGGCCGGGCGGTGGGCCGCGCCCCGGTTACGTTGTAGTAGCGGCCGTGGTGGGTCACCTCTTCGTCGCTCCACAGCCGACGCATCAGGCCGAGAGCCTCGGTACAGCGGGCGCCGCGCTGCGACATCTTCGTTCCGAAGGCTTCACACTCCTCCGGGCGGTAACCCAGCCCGATACCGAGGATGAAGCGCCCTTCCGCGATCTGGTCGAGGGTCGCCGACTGCTCGGCGACGTCCACCGGATTCAGCAACGGCAGCAATAAGACCGAGGTGGCCAGCTTCATGTTTCCCGGCTCGGCGGCCAGCCGCGCCAGTACCGGCCAGGGCTGGAAGTGCTGGAAGGGGTCGATCAGGTAGTGGTGGGCCCAGCAATAGATGTCGAACCCGGCGTCGCGGGAGGCCCGGAACTGCTCCAGGTGGTTCCGCCACTGTTGCTGATGGTCGATGCTGTCCCGCTGCACCACCTGCCCGACCTGATAACCAACGCGCATATCCTCACCCTGACCCGCCCCAACGCGGGCGGCCTGTCCCTCAAGAAAGGGCGGCTTGAACTTCCCCGCACACCGGGCTCTAACCTCCGACGTGGCGGTACTTGATCAGCCGCTCGCCTTCTAGGTTCTGGTTCACGTAGATGTCGCCGTGGGAGTCGACCCAGACGGCGTGGGCGCCGTTGCCCCACCCGGCGTCCGAGGGGCTGCCCCAGCGGGCCATGATGTCGCCCTCGATGTCCAGAATGGTCATGAAACCGTCCAGCTCCGGCACGTACACCGCCTCGTCGTCGTCGATGTAGATGTCGCAGGGTCGAGCCAGGTTCAGCCACTGCTCCAGGTAGCTGCCCTCGGAGTCGAAGATCTGGATGCGGTTGTTCTCGCGGTCGGCCACGAACACCCGCCCGTCCGTGTGCACCCAGACCCCGTGGGGGACGTGGAATTCGCCGTGACCGGTCTTCCCCGGCGCGCCCCAGGAGTCCACCAGCTCGCCGTCGGGGGTGAACCGGTGCACCCGGGCGTTGCCGTAGCCGTCGGAGATGTACAGGAGACCGTCCGGGGAAATGGCGATGTCGCTGGGGCGGTTGAATGGCCCGGCCGCCCTGACGGCCGGGTCGCTGTAGTTCCCCGACCAGCCGGTGTCTGAGGGCTTGTCCCACTCGCCCATGGTCATCAGCAGGTTGCCCTTGGGGTCGTACTTGAGGACCACGTGGCTGTTCTTGACCGGCAGGTAGAGGTTCTGGTCCTCGTCGATAAACATGCCGTGGGCGTCGGTGAGAACACCCTCACCCCAGGAGGCGAGATAGTTGCCGTCCCGATCCAGGACGATCAGCGGGTGTTCGCCGCGGTTGAAGAGATACACCCGGTCCTCGGAGTCGGTGACGATGGCAGTCTGTCCCAGCTCCCATCCCTCGGGCAGCTTCTCCCAATTCTCCACTTGCTCGTAGGTGTACTTGCCGTTGCCGACTGTGATCATGTCTTCACGTCCTCGATCGCGCCCGGTAACACCGGGGAGTAGGTTGTTGGTCGCTCTAGTAGGTTGTCAGCGTATCGATAACCGCCTGTTTCAACTCCCCGGCGCGGACCGAGACCTGGTCGGCCGTCAGACTGCCCAAGGGATGGGGAATGCCCAGTGGGTGGAAGTCGCGGCGGCCAAAGGTGCGGGCGTGGCGGAAGGCCGAGTCCAGGAACGGGTCGGTGCAGACCACCACCGTGGGGATGCCGAGGTTCTCCAGGGTCATTGCGTCGTGCATACTGCACGCGGTGCAGGATCCTCAATCGGCAATCGCGGTGACCACGAAGTCGCACCGCTCGGAAAGCTCGCTTATTATCTCATCGGCGGCCGGCCGGGAATAGACGTACTTGTCCACGGCGACGATGTCGCCCAGTTCCAGGTCCTTGGCCAGCCGCTCGCCCAGGTTCTGCAACAGGAGCTCTGCATTGGCTTTGCGGTTGCCCAAAAAGCCCCCGACTTTGTCGTGTAGCGTGTCCAGCCGGGGCGCGGCTCGCCAGCGGGACGCCGCCTCCGGATCGATGGGCAGGGCCAAACCCAGTTCCCTCATCCGATCTTGGTAGTTTGTGACAGTCATCGTTCCCTCTACAATTCTCCAATCAACGTTGGATCTTTCGCGTGACCCTGCGAGAGCCCCAGCCGGGCAAGTAGGCCGAGTGGGGGCCGCCGGCGCCACCGGCGACGAAAATGTTGATGCGGTCCGGGGCGCGGACCACCGGCACCATCTGGTCGTCGTCGTCGGCGTCGATGTACCTGGGCCAGAAGTGGCCGCGGCGGGAGTCGCCTTGGGGCGGGCCGCCCTGGCGGAGTTTCCGTACCGGCTTGCGGGCGTGCTCGAAGAGGAACTGGCGGATGTCCCGTTTGTTCCAGCCGTCGCGGTGGAGGAACTTGGCGTGCTCGGGGCCAATGACCACGAAGGTGTCACCCATGACGTACATCTGCACGTTGCCCAAGGTGCACATGGTGTCGGCAACAACGGTCAGGAAGTTCCGCGAGTGGGAGGCGTGGTACATGATGTTGTGAGGCGCCTCCGCCGGGAACACCGACACCGTGCTGTCGGTCGGGGCGAAGCCGAGCTCGACGTGCATCGGCTCCCAAGGGTTGGCGTCCTCGTCCTCGGCAACGCAGTAGGTGTAGGCGCCGGGGTGGCCGAAGGTGGCCTTGTTGGTCTCGCCAGGTATGGCGCCGCCCAGGTTGAGCAGGACCAGCTTGACCGCGCGGCCGATGGTGCCATTGGCGCGCCAACCGGAGCCGAAGCAGTTGTAGCCGCCGTTGATGTCCAGCTCCTTGACGATGGGGCCGTTGACGATCAACAGCGGAGTGTGGATGCCGGTGGAGCACATCACGCCCCGCAGGTTGAACCGCTCGTCCATCATCGCTTCAAGGGCGGTGATGACCACCGGCATGTGCTCCGGCAGACAGCCCGCCATGACAGCGTTGACAGCGATGCGCTCGACGGTGGCCCGTCCGCCCAAGGGGCGGCAGCTCCGCGATGAGTTCGTCGCCCCCGCGGCCAGTGCTCTCCACGAACCGGCGGACCAAGGGTTCGGATGGCGGCACGACCGGCAGGCCATCGGTCCACCCGGTCTCGAACATCAATTCGATGGCATCAGAAACGTCGGTGGAAAGCATTATCGGCCCATAAAGGACGTTGGATTATTCGCGGTTCGGCCGGTGCGAGTGTAATCCTCGTAGATAGTGCTGTCAACGCGCCAATCGCCCACAACCCCATTTCGGCCCGGCCGGCCGCCGATTAGCGCCCCGCCAAAGCCGGCCTTACCACCATCTCCATAGCTGTACCGTCCCTCCTGTCAGAGCCGTCAGGCATTCCGCCGGTGGTACAGTTTGCTCCGCCACAGTTGTCGACGTTCAGCGAAAATGTCCTCGCTAACTGACCAGCAAAAATGTCAAATTCACCTCATGGGTAATGCGATTTTGACGTAATAAGAACAGGCAAGGCTTCAGCTGGACTTTGTACAAAAACTAGAAATATGAAAAAGGCAGGGTAAGCTGGGTTGACCCGACGTCTTACCCCGAATCCACCGATGGACACGGACTGAGGGCGTGAGAACACAGGAAGGGGGTGTGAGGAAATTACAAACGCGATGGTCCGGGCTCGAATTCGGGTAGACGGGGGGTTGGCGGCGGTCTGCAGGCGTTTTTGGGGCGACGATGTCGGCCTGCAATGGCTTTGGTGAGCGAGATGGCGGGATAGGACACGGCAATACGCACTCGCGGACCGGACCTGGCGCGAGTTGGCCGGATGGCGGGTCAGTGGCGGACGTGCGCCGTCAGGAGGGGAGAGGCAGCGCTCGGAATCGAGCCAAGGCGCGACTGAACTGGTTTTCCCAGGGCCAGCGCTGGGGCAGATGCAAAGTGAGGCGGCGCGCCGAGCGGGTGAGCCTTCCGGCCATGGAAAAGAAGCGGCGTCGCAGGGTCTTGGTGGTCACGATCTGCTCGCCCAGACCGATGCGCGCCGTCCAGCGTGCCAGGTTGTGGGCGATCACCTGCACCGCCAGCCAGGCGCCGTTGGCGGGGAAGCGGCCCGAGGGGAGATGGTTCAGCCCCACGCCGTACTTGAGGTCTCGGATGGCGTTCTCGATCTCGGCGTGGCGCCGATGGTCGGCCTCCAGTTCCAGGGTTTCCCCCTCCCGGTCGGTGATGAAGCCGTGATAGCTGTAGTGGCGAAGAGGGCCAACTGGGAACCGGGCGTGGGCTTCACGCGCCGGACGATGAGCCGCACCGGCGCGGCGTCGGGCCCACTCTGGAAGGGAGTGTAGCTGGTTTCGGCCACGTCGGCGGCGCCCTCCATCCAGTAGGGGATGGGCGTCCAGTCCTGCTGGGGTATGGCCTCGATGAGACTGCGCAGGCTAGCACTCTGGCGGATGGTGATGGAGAAGCGGACATCCATCCGCGGCAGGCGGCGACGATGGCGTGGGTGTAGAAGCCGCTGTCGGCCCGCACCGTGAGTTGTCCCCTGGCCCCGGCGTAGCGCACCCGCCCCACCGTCTCACGCAGGAAGTGGGCGGCGCCCCGAGCGGTGTTGGCCCGGCCCTCGCGCAGCCGGGCCATCAGCACGTCGCCGGTGCCAGCGGCCACGGCCAACAGCGGGTGATAGCCCCTCTTGCCCGTGTAGCCGTGGTCGCGCGCCCCCTCCTTGGCCAGACCGTATGTCTCGCAGATCGTCGAATCCAGGTCGATGGTGAATGGCGCGTCGCCGGGTCCGGCCCCAGCCGACCAGGCCCGGGCCAGCAGCTCCCGGCTGACCCGATCCAGTTGGCGGACGTGGCCCCACCGGAAGCTGCGCAGGAACGTCCCCAGGGTGGACGGCGCCTTGACTACGCAGCCCAGGGTCTGGGCGGTTCCCCCGGTGCGCAACACGTCGGCGTCGTCAATGCAGTCGCCGCCCGCCAGCGCCGACGCCACCAGGGTCAGCATCTTGTCGCCCGCATTCGCCCGCCCCGGCGCATTGCCCAGGTCCAGTGATGGTCAACCAGTTCACGCAGACCCAGGTGCTGGGCCCAACGTGACCGGAAGGAGCAGCCCAGCATTGGCCACCAGGCGCGGTCGTCGAAGGTGATTTGGATGCGGTCGGGGTGGTCAAGTGGTAGCATCTTTTGGGTGCTCCTTGTTTCGGGTCGGTTTTGTGATTCCAAAACCATTATCCCCGAAGCACAGGGGCACTTTCTTACCCCTTCAGTACGCCGACACAGTCATATCTTCGGTGGATTGGGCTTACATTAGGTCAACCAATGCTTACCTTGCCGGACGCCATTGTAGCCGTTCTCATCCCCTTCGCCGCGCTGTTCCAAAACCGGACCTGGCGCAAAGCCCAGGTGTTGCTGGTGGGCGCGGTCCTGTCCCCGGGCCAGCGCACGGTGGCGGCGGCACTGCGCGTCATGGGTCTCAGCGGCGACGGCAACTATGCCCGATACCATCATGTGCTGAACCGGGCCGCGTGGTCGCCCCTTGAGGTATCTCAGGTCCTGCTTAGGCTGCTGTTACAGCGCCTCAACCACGGCGACGGTCCATTGGTGTTCGGCATCGACGAAACTCTGGAGCGGCGTCGGGGGTCGCAGATCAGTGCCTTGGGCGTTTACCGCGACGCCGTGCGCTCCAATCGGAGCTATACGGTCAAGGCCAGTGGTTTGCGTTGGGTTTCCCTGATGTGATTGGGACACATCCGCTAGGCCGGTCGGCACTGGGGCCTACCCTTCCTCACCGTGCTGGCGCCATCGACACGGAATTGCCAGCGACAGGGACGCCGCCACAAGAAGCTCACCGACTGGGCTCGCCAGATGATCTTGCAACTGCGCCGCTGGCTGCCCAACCGCTCCCGGGTGATCGTGGGCGACCACGGCTACGCCGTGCTGGACCTGCTGCACTGCTGCCAGTCCCTCCGTGAGCCCGTTTGCACTCCGATCACCAGACTGCGCCTGGATGCTGGCCTTTACGATCCGGCTCCACTTCGACAACCGGGTCAAAGCGGCCGGCCCCGAGTGAAGGGATCACGTCGGCCCACCCTCAAAGAACTCCTCCATGTCCCCGACCTGCCGTGGCTAACCGCGTCGGTGTCCTGGTACGACGGCACCATCCGAACCCTGGAACTCGCCTCCCAGACCGCCGTCTGGTATCACCATGGCAAACCTCCCGTACCCATCCGCTGGGTATTGATCCGAGACCCCCCGGACCCCCGTAGAACTCGACACCCAGGCCCTGCTCTGTACTGACCAAACCGCGGCTCCGACTCAAGATCCTGGAGTGGTTTGTGCTGCGCTGGCAACGGCAAGTCACCTACCAGGAGGCGAGGGCTCACCTGGGCCTGGAAACCCAGCGCCAATGGTCGGACCGAGCCATCGCTCGCACCACGCCGATACTGATGGGGCAGTTTTCCTGGGTGGCATTGGCCGCCCACTCGTTGCAAAAAGACCACCCGATAACCCAGCGCACCGCGGCCTGGTACATCAAACCGGCACCCACCTTTGTCGACGCCATCGCATTGGCGCGACGACACCTGTGGATGGCATCCCACAATTATTCAACGTCGGCGCCAAACGACGACCGGGAAAAGACCTCCCCGAGTTGTGTGCCCGGCTCATCGATTCCCTCGCCTACGCCGCTTGAATGTACAAAGTCCAGCTTAGAAGTCGGGTTGGGGCGGGGCTCCCCAGCCTTGGGGGACGTTAATCAGGTTTGGCTCCAGGTCCTGGACGGAGGTCTGGCCGCAGTAGGCCATGGCCCGATCGATCTCTTCCCGGAGCAGTTCCAGGACGCCGTGGACGCCCTCGGCCCCGTTGATGGCCAGCCCCCAAAAGAGGGGACGCCCGATGCCAACGGCCTTGGCTCCCAAGGCCAGTGCCTTGATGACGTCACTGCCGCGGCGGACGCCGGAGTCAACGTAGACTTCGCAATTTCCCTTGACCGCATCGACGACCTCGGGCAGCATCTCGATTGCACCCATGGTCATGTCCAGTTGGCGTCCACCGTGGGTCGATACCAGGATACCGTCGACACCGCTCTCGGCGGCGATGTGGGCGTCCTCGGCGGTGCGGATGCCCTTGAGCACCAGGGGCAGGCCGGTGAGGCCGCGGAGCCATTCAAGCTCCTGCCAGGTGAGGGGAACGGTGCGGTTGACGTTCCAGCCGACGGACTCGTCGGTGCCGCGTAGCACGTTCTCCGGCTTGTTGACGCCCCGGAAGTTGCCCTGCTCGAAGTTCCGGTCGTAACGGTTGCGCAGGTCACGCTCCTTGGGGCTGGGGGTGGGGGTGTCCACCGTCAGGGTGATGGCCTTGAACCCGGCCTCTTCGGCGCGGCGGACCAGCATTTCGGTGAGGTCGTAACCCCGGTGGTAGAGCTGGAAGAAGAGGGGGCTGGTGGCTTCCTCGGCGACCTCTTCCATGCTGCAGTTGGAACCGGTGCTGAGCATCATCAGGGTGTTGGACATGCTTGCGCCGCGGGCGGTGGCCACCTCTCCCTCGGGATGGGCTCGGTGATGGGAACCTGCGGGGCTGACGAACACAGGCATACTGAGTTCATTGCCCAGCATGGTGGTCGAAAGGTCCCTTTCCCCGATGTCGCGGAGGAACCTGGGGCGCAGAGTCAGTTCCTCGAAGGCGGTTCGGTTGCGCCGGGTGGTGAACATGTCCATAGCCCCGGCGTCGATGGTGTCCCAATCGTCGTGGGGCAGGACCAGCCTGGCACGTTCCTCGTAATCGTAAAGGTTGATGGGGTCGAGTCGCATCTGGACCTCCCTTTGGAGACGGATCCTACCCGCCGCTCCCTGCCCGGCATGAGGGTATGGGGCAGCGTTCTCAGTGGGTAGAGTTGACGGCGCCTATACTTTACGGCCTGGAGCGGCTGCGGCAAGTCCCAGGGGAATGGCGAGGGCGTTTCAGTTGGGGTGGTGAAGGGTCGCCTCACTTTGTTGCACATTCAGGGGGTTCATATTTCTCCCACCGACACCTGGGCCAACGAATCTCCTGCTTTGACTGTGTGGGCGTAGGTTCACCTGACACCCGAAAACCGATCCGGGATCAATGTTAGGGTCCCAGACAACATGGGGGATAAGACATGCCTAAGAGGGTGTCTAAAAAGGGGAACCGTAGGCTAGGGCCTGTTCACACTAACGCAGTGCATCGAGAATGAGTGCGAATGAGATGAACCCGAGGAAGAGCACGTCGAGCTTCTCGAAGCGCGAGAAGATGCGGCTAAATCCCTTCGGTCGGCGGAACAGCCGCTCGATCTGATTCCGCCTCTGGTATATCTCCCGGTCATAAGCCCATGGGTGTACACGGGTGCTCAGGGGTGGCACCACCGGCATGAACCCCAAGGCCAAGGCGAGTTGGCGGGTCTCATTGCCCTCATATGCCCGGTCCATCAACCGGGACAGGCCTGGGCGTTGCGGGTCAAGACGGGTCAGCAGCTTACGCCCTTCCGGCGCGTCGTGGGCCTGTCCAGGGGAGAGCCAGAACGTTATGGCGGTTCGAGCATCCGCGGCAACCATATGAATCTTGGTGGTCCAGCTGCCCCGGGACTTGCCGATAGACTGAGGTCCGTTTTTGTTAACGCGCCCGTGCCATCGGGGTGGACCTTGACGATGGTGCTGTCCATCGCTACCGCTTCGAGTTTGATGCGCACGATCTGTTCCCGCTGGAGGTGTTCAAACACCCGGTCGAGCACCCCATTCTTCGACCAGCGGTTCATCCGTGTGTAGACGGTATGCCAGTTGCCGAATCGGGCCGGCAACCCCCGCCACTTGCAGCCCTGCTCAGCGACATACAGAATCGCGTTGAGCACTTGCAAGTTCGACAGTTTGACGTTCCCCCGCTGAACGGGCAGGACCGGTGCAATGCGTTCGTACTGAGCTGCTGTAATCTCCATGCGGCGATGATAACATTTCAGCACCGTTAGTGTGAACAGGCCCTAACCCCAACCGAGTATCTTCACCACTACCATCCAGACCTGCTGGCCCCTGCTCCGTCTCACATGTACTGAACAAGTACACCACCTTGACAAGGCGCCCTGTAACACCGGTTCATTGCCGGCCCGTAACGTGGTTTTAACAAGTAAGGGAATCGAAATGTGGCTTCGTACAAGTTGTGATATTACCTTTGATGTGAGCGTCCCTACGCCTTTTATCCTGATGCTCCGCCCTCGAAGCGGAGCACAACAGTGGGTGGGGCATGAAGAATGCACGTGACGCCAAGCGTACCGATCAGAAAGTATGCGGACAGTTACGGTAACCTGTGCGAGCGATTGATAGCACCCGCAGGTGAGTTTTCTATCCGTAGATCTGCGGACGTTTCAACCGCAGACGGCGTTGACGTATCGCCTGGTGCGCCATTTGACGAGGTGCATAATCTACCAGACGAGGTTCTAACCTATCTTCTTCCCAGCCGTTATTGCGAGTCCGACCGGTTTATAGACCTCGGTAGGGAACTCGTAGACGGCGTCGAGCCCGGCTACGATCAAGTGGCTAGAATTGTAGGGTGGATCCGCACCTCCGTGCGCTTCAATCCAGATTCCAGCAATTTTCAGATGTCGGCAGTCGAGGTCAACCAGCAGCGCGAGGGCGTGTGCCGCGAGCTCACTCATTTGGGTATCGCGTTATCCCGCAGTCTCTGTATCCCAGCGCGTATCGTTGTAGGCTATCTGCACGAACTCGAGCCGATGGATTTTCACGCTTGGTTCGAGGCGTACGTAGGTGGCCGTTGGTACACCTTCGATGCAACGCAGGCCGTTCCACGTGGAGGGCGAGTTGCCGTCGGTTATGGGCGCGATGCGGCCGACGTGGCGATGTTCAACCAGTTTGGCCCGGCGCTATATCCCAGAGCAATGGAGGTACGGGTCGAGATGCTCAACGCTCGCCCGAGGAGCAATTGAGAATCCACTGTGGACCGTCAGCGAAATGGGACACATTAGAGATTAGGAAACCCGAGAGATTGAGCAGGTGGAGCGAGGTCCTGGACGAGGGTGTAAAAGGCGGCGGTAAAGTGGGCCACGTGGGCGGCTCTCAGCTACGGAAACGGTGGCTAAGTCCCGACAGGTTCACCGCAAATAACCGGCCGCCCCGCTGGTCGGTGGCGGTCGGTTAGGATATGGTTTCGACATTGGTGGAGGGCATGCAGACACTTCTGAAATCCATAACGCTTGGATCGGCGTCCCTTGCACCGGCAGCCTGCGGCGGGGTTGGAATCGACCACGCCCGAGCCGGTCTCCTAAACCTATAGACTGGATCTAGTGTCCTGCATCTAAAGTACGTTGGCAAAAGCGTGCTACGTTGGCCAGAATCTGATCAGCGGTCTTGATCCACACAAAGGGTTTGGGGTTTTCGTTGGTAACGTCCAGGTATCGGTAGATGGCAGCTTCCAGTTCACTGCTGCTCTGGTGCACTCCCCGGCGCAGTTGTTTGTCGGTGAGCATCGCAAACCAGCGCTCCACCAGGTTGAGCCAGGAGGCGCTGGCGGGTGTGAAGTGAACATGGAAGCGGGGCCGCTTGGCGAACCAATTCCGGATGAGCGCCGTCTTGTGGGTAGCGTAGTTGTCCACGATCAGGTGTACGTCCAGGTCGGCGGGCACCTGGGCCTCGATGGTATCGAGGAACTTACGGAACTCCACCGCCCGGTTGCGAAGGTGGCATTGGCCAATTACTCCAACAAATCGCTGCCACGACACGAAGATTCCAGTGGGAGTGATTCAGGATCAACTCCAACCCACAATGGGCTGGCGAAAACGGTTTTCCAGACCGGCACGGTACCCGCAACGACCCGAGATCAAACATCCCGCGGTCTGAACCCAAAACGCCTCATGGCCACCGTGTAGGTGGCGTTGCGACAGAAGCAAAGCGGGTGAGATCCGTCGTCGGCGACAGATTAGGTCGAGGAGCCATTCGCAGTCCAGCCACGGGCCTGCGTCTCTGCCCGTTTGTGGCGTTGTGCTGTGTGCGCCGCTGCAGCGGTAGGGAACCGCGCCATAAACGAGATTCACCGATAGTAACCCAGCGCCCGCCCCTGGCACCCGGCCTTGGTATCGGTTCCCCCACGTTCGCGGCCATACCGCGGCAGATTTCGTTCCCATGGACGGCAGTGATTTAGAGCTAGTCGGGGCCCTGCCTCCCCACGCGCCTTGGACACTCCTTATAGGGTGTCTTTTCAACACCCGTCGCAGCCTGGTCCGCAGCTTAAAATCTGCGAGGACCACATTGTTCGATGAGTTAGGGCAGCAAGCGGGTCGA